AATAAATGATGATTTATACAATTAAGTCGGCCATATATATAATTTAATAAAAGATCTCTCACATGTTTTATGACTAATTTACTCTCGCAATCGTAAAGGTTATTAGGCAGCATGTCACTTCTAGAATCAAGGATGCTCCGTGTGAGATCGAAACAAGCCGCAATCAAAGGCGTGGAAAACATGGAAACTTAAGTGCAGCTGGATAAAGTGGCCTCGTAGCGGATAGTTGGCAAGAGGCCGTGCGAATGGATGGAATCACGAGGGTGAATATAGAAAGGAGGGCTGATAACCGTCCCTATAAGGTACCTATGTGGCATTGAGAGCCGCGGATGGTAGTGGCGTGGGCTGGCGCGCCAACTAAAATTGAATCTGCGAACGAAACTTTGGTAACCTCGTCAGGAAACCGAAGCTAAAGTCATCCATCGCTCGCGCTTTCGTTGCCGTCGGCACAGCCATCGTCGACTTCCGTTTTATCTAAAAGAATTGTTCTGTCTCTTGTTGCCTACTCGTTTGCCACTTCTTTCCCGATCGTGCACTCATGCGCGTATGCGACAGATTCTCGAGTGTTCCTTGGAGATATATGTGTTCTCATGTCTCGCTAAATTAACTTGGGACATGGGGACGTCTGACGATCAAGCCATGTTTGACATGGATCAATTTATCGACTGTCATTGGAGTTCGTTAAACTTACTGAATAGATAAGGAAAATGTTGAAATTCATTCTTATAGAGTTCAACGATGAACAAATAATGCAGTGTACTGGTAATGATTGGAAAAATAGTTTCTTTATTTTCGAAAAACGGAATTTGACTGCTCTTTAATAAATGTTGAAGTAAATGTCAATGAAAGTTTTCAACACTAACTGTTCATTATATTAACTTTCTATAACTTTTATTGGCGTTTATTTAATTAAAACTGTGGTTGGATAGATGATTAAAGTTGATAGTATAATATCATACTCTAACAGCAAAATACTATATTGCAAAATTCGCGACAATTCTTGTTATTTCAAAAATATTTTTTACGCAATTGCTCGCGTTTATATAGCAATTGTTCTCTCTCAAAATAATATTTTGCGATGTAAATTGACAGTAAGAAAGACTGAACCTTTGCGTAATTCAATTTGCGGACTACAGCGTTCGCGAATTGCGTTTAAACGAATTTCACGTACTAATGGCCGCCTCCTTGCTATTACAGTATATCGAGCAGACAAACAACTTTACGAGCACTTACCCTTTAGATACTAGAATCTATACGTGGAAGTGTGCATCTACCAGTTTTCAGAGGGTTCGGAAAAATCATTGTCTCAGAAAAGCCTTTCAATATCAAGTGAAAGAAAAATCAATCATGCATATCGTGGATAACCGTATTGAAATAGTTTACATAAATATTCTTTTTTTTAATTGTATATTTTATTAAATTGTATATTTTATTTGTGTTATAGATATATAGATATAAGGTAACCGGATCCAATAAGAGTGTGTACTCAAAACGCCCTATTCACTATTTGTAGATAACTACACGATTAATTCAACAGCAGTAGTATCTCGTGCAGATTATCCATCTGACTGGATTGCATCAGTTTATTGTTCAATTTGTTCATTCTGTTATCGTCAGTGAAGCATAATGTAGAATATGGTCGTGATGTAATATAATATTTTATAGATAAGTAATTACTTCCTATACATATACACTATCAAAAGATGATTATTAATTTCAATAGTTCATGTTATTAGAGCTCTGTATTCATACTTTATATATTTATATTTTTGTTACAACGTTTATAATCAACATATCGTGTAACATTTTTTTGTAACTTTTATCCCAGATCGTGAATTCTAATTCATCTGCTAAACATAATGGAAATAAATAGATAAATAAGTAGATAAGTCCATTGTTTGGAAAAAATAATTCTTTGTGTATTCTTATATATCAATAATGTTGATAAGTTTATAATTTTATACAAGTAACATTAGATTGCTTTATTTCTCATTTTTTTCTAAACATTTTTTTTTTACGAAAAAGAAGAAAATATATACTCATATTGGGATTATATGTATCCCGTATGCACGGAATGCTACTCTTTCTTTAAATCTTTAATGCAGAAAGAGATGATGAGAGAGAGAGAGAGAGAGAGAGAGAGAGAGAGAGAGAGAGAGAGAGAGATGCCTATATAAATACTTGAATATATCTCATATTTTTTTATTAATGTTTAAAAATGTTTCCTCTTTTAAATGTGACCGCTAATTTTCAATTTTGAACTCAGTAAAAAATTAGAAAAAAATCACAAAACTTAGTAAAGACATGTAGAGTCCGATTACTTTATGAATGTTACTCATGTTTCTTCACAATTATCAAGTGACATATATTTTTATTAAGTTTTTAATTGCTTATCACGAAAAAGTACATTATTAAAAGCGTTTAATAGTTTGCATTTACATAATCAAAGAGCATTAGCTACTTTACTAATGGTAGTTTGTGATGAGAGACCATTGACACGACGACCATTAACATTACGTTGCACCATGTGACTCGCGGCACGCCGAGGTACAATGTAGTACCACCTGACGCAAAACCCATCATTTATAACGTAGTTTTCAGATTGTTTAGATTAATCGTTCTAAAATTATGTCAAAAGTTTCATTTGCAAACCATATATTAAAATAACATATCCTCATATCTATAACTTTCATCTTACTTTTATTATAGCATCTACTGTAATGCTGTAGATAAAAAATGTCGTAATTAAAAAAATATAATTTTTTATCCTTGATTTTATATACATTATTTTAACTATTATGTCGATCCAATTAAAGTAGAATATCATATATTATTAATTAAAATAGTTCATATATATTATATATATTTTATGTTAACATTATGTAGTGTAGACTTTTAGTATTACATGTTTGACTAAAATACATATTGTTTATATATTTTAACGAAGTAACTTTTTCGTTGCAATTTCTACTGGTTTTACAAGGAAATTTTTTTCATTTTCTCCCGTAGTTAGTCGCGCTCCAGGGGTCTTATTCTCGAAAAATATGGCCTATTAAAATCTGTAATATACGTATCATATACTACGGTATTTTCGCATGCAATATTTTTCGTAAATAAGGCTTTAGAATAGGGACCCCACGTCGGAAACTTTATTGAAACCGGACCCTAATTTAGCAAAGTTAAAATATTCAACAATTTTTTCTTACTTTCTCTTGTCTTTTTTGACCTTACTAACTATTGTAAATGAATGACAATCTTTTCAAATTTTCGACATACCAGAATAGAAAGACCATAAATACGAACTTCGATTGTCCTAAAACAGGTAAAGGAATTCTGACAATGGGAGAAAAATTCAAAGTAATAATTGAGAGAAGAAGAAATTCAATGAGCGGGATTCTGAAATCCGCTTTGAATTGTTTCGCTTGTCGACAATTAGTAACGATTGATCCTCGAAGAACGGAGCGAGGTACGAATCGTCGCACGGAGAAATGTCGTGATGTCGGGTGATTTTCGATAAATTGCATGTGTCCACCCTCGATCACGTAGCCGACATCACGCATACTACGTAGGCCAAGTATACGTGGCGATGTGGCACGGCGTGCCGCGAACTCGCGTCCTTGTTACGCTCCCACGACACGTACGTTCGTGATGTAACGGTAACTACTGCTAGTACGTGCTAAGTATGTGCGGCTAGGGATTGTGCCCTATTGGCAGCTGTACGTATTCCATTCTTAGGATTACGTACACGTATGCAAACATAACGCCGTGCGAAGGCATCGCGTCGTTCGATACATTATCGCGACTTTCCGCGTCGAAGGGCTAAGCGAGAGATGTTATCCGGCTTACAAGGTACCCGGATGGAGCCAATCGTTTCTGTTCGCGCAGCTCGCCTACCTAGATTGAACGAAGAAAAATTCTGGCTTGAATGCCATTTGAGTTTACGCCGCTCTGGAGCGGCGCCAAGGCCATCCTTGGATTTCTACGCGCCTGGTTTAATAGCAATTATGCATTTTTAATCGGTGGATAATCGCGGGACTTGAATACTCGTGACGCGGTTATTACCGGCAGATGTTGTCGCAACGTCTGCTACCTCGAGGGCCATGCAAATTAACGAAAGCCAGTTCCCGTACCGCGCACAAGAGGATTTACTTTTTTAAATGCTGAAATTAATCATGAAGTTGTTGTAAAATAATTCAGATCGTTAACTGATAGATTGCAATGCACATTTGAATTTCAATACAGGAGACAAATAATCGAGTAGCTCTTGCTCCTATCATTTTCCCCTTTCCCTTCAAGAAAAATTAGCACTTGATGGATATCAAAATTGGAGTGCGTTATGATCACAACTTTATAGAAAAATATAACACGTTATATGTATCAAAGACTCGTTCAATTTATACTTTAAGCAAATCGTTCACTTTGCAATAAGCAAGAATATACATTAAATTAAACAAGACTATATATTTATTAACTTTGGAAAAATATCTCTGCATAAACATATTTGAATTTAATTATTTCGCTATAATAAAAATTTTCTGTTGTAATTATATATAATTATATATGTATTTAAAAAAAATACACATTATATAATGCTTTGTTGATATTTTAATAAACATTTTTTCAATGTTTACATAATAAGAATTATAATGACATTTAATAACAATTTACGATTAAAAATAATAACTTAAGATTAAAAAAATCGAATTTTATTTATTTTAAGTAATCTTCCTTCCTTTTTATAATATCTAAATCTAAATTATCATGAATTTTTCTCTCAAAAATTAAATTTTAACGTTGTATTTAAATGTTTAATATGTAATATAAAAATAACTGCGATCTCAAAGCGATTAAAAAAATTAGACGATTTAGTTGCATAGTGTAAACACGACGTTGCCTTGAATTAAACGGTATGCATCTTTCTATAAATAATGGAGCCAAATATAAGTTTTTTAGAACAGCGCACGCATGACGATAGTGTAAAATAAATTTATAAGTGGCACCTGATTTATTGGCCGGTGTTGGCGTATGGGTGAGCGTAGCTGCTGCAGTCAACTTAGGTGGTTCCATCTTTTGCGGCACGCTGTGTGCAGGTATCGGACCCGGATTCGTCATAGTGGTCATTGTTGTAGGCATCATCAGAGTCGACATGGTCAGCATCTTTACAACGTCGAATTTGTCTCGCCGTGGTGAAAGTTGAAAAATGTAGTTTCGTTATGTGACCGAAACGAATCCTCAAAACGACGATGACACTGAATGTGGTATGCGATCGCGATCTCTTATCAATATTCTACGATCTGTAACGTGATCGGATTGAGGAAAGATGATAAACGACGCGTGTGCGATTCATGCGAAGTACAAATGGATCGCGAGTGTGCCGCAGAATTTTATTAATGATCGATCGAAGGAAAGTAACGAATACGATCGTAATTAAGAGATGGATCGAGCACTGGTATTAGTGTCCCATGAATATGGCATCACTCGAGTGGTATTAATTGCGAATCCGCACTGCAAGACATTCGATATGTAGTCGTTTGTCCACGATAAAAAACGGTGTGGCTCATCGCATGTTTCGCTTCACGTCTATCGCGTCGTCATGTAGATCGTCGTGACTCTTTCCCGCGTCATTACTTCACGTTGTCACACCAGTGGATCTCGAATTTTAGTAGCGGTCAACATTTGCCGCTGCCTCGTTCGCTCGAAACTGTTCGTCGAACTTTTTCACTCGACTTCCAGACGAAAGAATAGCAAACAAACACTGCCGCTTTTGCAAAACTATGTTTGCGAAATCTATAAAAAGTGCAGAAACTTTACGGTTTTGAATTCAGTAACTCGGTAGTTTCCCCGCGAACATCGAAGCGCACAGTTCTCTCAAAACTCAATCACTTCAAATCAAGTTCGACAATCTTTCTGTTTCTTCATTCACGCGTCTTCAGTGTGTTCTTTCCTCTCGTTCTAACAATTTCCTCCTAATTTTCCCACGTCGTCCGTGCACTGCGATTCATTCACAAAAAATGTTGAAGCGTGCCTGGTGCACGCGGTTACTGCATGCGGTGGCGTCTGTGCGTGCGAAGCGTAGCGGCGCGCGTCGTATTGTCAGATACGCGTCGTATTAGCAGAACTCCGTAAATAAATGTCACCGACGAAAATTTATGTAGAACACGACAAATAGATTTGTTCAAAATCTGACGATGCCGATGACGATCGTGCACGAGGGAATTTAATTACGGCGGCGGCGGCAACGTAGGTGGTTGCAACGACGGCGACGTCGTTCTCTACGCTCTCCACGCTGCGCGCGTTACGTCACGTCCGGCCGAGCGTAGAGTCGGAACTCGTCTGGCGGGGTGAGCGCAAAGGGACGCCTGCCTTTGCCTGCCTGCCAGCCTGCCAGCCCTGGACGCCCGCCGTCGCGACGCCCAGAGGCGCCGGCGTTCCCGAGCGTCCGCGGAATCACACGAGCTAAGACGCGAGCCAACAGTCGCTCGTTCGCCGTCACGCTGAAAGGGTTGTTCGATGCGGGAGTCAATGTAGCACTATATGATGATGCGTCGCGAATTATTAGCGACATCGGCGATTTTTTTCCAATTTAATTTTTTACTGGCTTTTCAATGTATGATGCCCTCGTCTAGATTAAATGTCAATCAATCTCAACGGTCTTACTCGAGAATATTTTTTTTTTATAAATAATTTTCTTTTAAGCAAATGTCTATCAACTTTTAACTTCAACATCAATAGTAATTTCCTTTTTTAAATCTACCAAACAGATTTACAATTTTCTTTTCTATATATTAAACAAACTTAAAAAATATCAATGTTCAAAAATTTTAAATATCATTATTTTAGGATATAAATTCAGATTTTTTTTTTGTTTATCGACATTCTTTTTTTCAAATATTATTAATACAATATATTTTATTTTGCGATAACTTTTCTAAATGAATAATAATTTTCATAAAAATGACCTTTATTTATAATATATTTTTACATCAAAAAAGGAAAACTTTAATATTATTGATTGATGGGATACGTAAATTAATCTTTTTTCTCTCATAATTTCATTTTATTACAAACGTTTTTGTTTTATTAATAATAACAATAGCAAAAGATGCACAGATGCAGATAAACGAATAATGTTGCATCAATCTATTTATATGTACGCGGAAAAATTAAATAAAATCATTGAAGTTTCATATATTCGTTTAAAAATTTAATATTGAAGGATTAATTCAGCTTATTGTTAGTCTAACTTTACAATAAAATAAATTAATCTTTCTTAACGTATAAAGAGAAATTTTATATATATATATATATA